AGATTTCTTGAGGCTACTAATAAATAAAAGACCGATCGCTATTCGTAAAAATCCGTTAGCAAAACATTAACTTGATTTCATGATGATACATGACCAAATATATATTCAAATAAAAAAAATGACATATTAGACTCCTATTGGATTTCTTGTCACCGGATCGTGATATTTTCTACTCAAAAAATGAATACAACCCGTAGGATCTCTTAGATCAATCGTCTTGAATCTCACACCTTACTGCTCTGCGAATTACCGAGATTGGACTAAATTATAGCCCAGATACTCCTCTAAATCCAATTGTATCGTCTCGCAGTTCCCAACGTCCTGCTATTATTGTGAGCACCTTCTATGTAGAACATAACAAGCTCAGTGCAAGCTTTCACGGATCTAATTCTGTCATTCAATTCACGAGTGGTTATATTTCTTGATCAAACCCATGGAATTTTATTGCTCCGCATGGCGGGCGCGTCACATGGTGGAGCTGACTCAGTTGAACCGTTGCGTTGTGATAAGAATGAGTCATTTAATAATGTCAAAGAGGGCCTAACCCAGATATTCGCGACTTATGATCACGCGTGAAAGTCACTTAAACATTTACTGGCTCTGTACAGAGAACCCAGCTTACAATGTGACTCACCGACTTATCAATTTTACTCAGGGACTACGTCGCACCGTCGCTTATTCACAGTCATGTCGATATCGTGCAATCTGGCCGCCGCAACATAAATCGCTTTTCCCTATTTAATTTTTAGACCAGAGCTCACAGCCGCTTCTGTATTTCGATCTTTGTTCAGAACAATTATTAGCAAATCTTCTAGATCATTCGGACAAATCCTGTCTTGCGCCAAAGTTTTCGTTGTTTCATACTAGCACCAAGTTAACTTTGCTTCTTGGTAGAGGTGGGCAGATGTCTTAAGAGAAGGTATGACATCTGACTTTTCGACTTTCTTCTGATCCGATGCCCGTGGTATTCGTACCATATTAAAGATGTAGTCATATTTCATATCCAAATTCGTAAGAAAACTACGACTCAAGCCTTCCAGACCCTGAAAATTTACGGGCTGACCTAAATAAACCTCCAGCACATCCATAATCGCGCATTTTTGCAAGATGCCCGGATATTTTCAGCCGAATTTGGTTTCTTAGATGCCCCACGTAAGGCATAACTTTCTCTCTCGCGTCTTGCGTAATTGCACTGCTCGATGCCACTAAACTTATCAGGACGTTCTAGGCTTAACAAGGCTCGAAAATATGTCAATAATCCTGCACTGTTGCATCCAGATTTGTTAGAGAAAGCCCCTTCTATTAGTATGGGTCCAATTGGATTGCGACCTTTACAATATTTAATTGCATTGTTACGTTTTTTAATCGACCTCCCTGCACCCACCGGGTCTTGACTTTCTCTGCGATTAGCTTGTCGAATGATTCTACGTAGAATCTCGTCACTTCGTAAAACTCAGCTAGGAGCGAAGGGGACACGCAGGATGCAGCTATTTTCACATCTACAAGTTGAAAATACGGGAGCACCACGGAAATGCTTGATACCTTTCTTCCACATCGGGGAAGGAAGGCCCATCAACCGGGCTGTGCAGATAGAGTTTTCAATTATCGCAATAGAAGGCTATCGCGGTACGAAAGTGTGTCATCTATGTATTAATAGAATATGGTAGGTGCAGAGGACCTCAGCACGGCCAAACTTCCTCTACTTAACGCTGCATAATCTTCTCCTCTATCATCGCCTTCGGGAAAGTACTACTGTGCATGCAGTGCTAAAACCTCGCAGCGCTCGTACAAATTCGGTGAGTTGTCGCTCTGTTGACGATTAGTTAATAAAATTGAAACGTGTTAGTTTGCTTGGATTGGCGGTGAGCCCGCGACTATCGTCGCTTTCGATTCCCCCCCCGTTGAAAATGATACAAAATGAAGTGCCAAATCGCGCGCGGTCCGCTAGTCGAAAGACCACAAGCGCAATGCGCTGTTGCTTTATCTGAAATGCGGCTTAGTTTATAGCCATTTCAACACCTTTGACCCGGAGAAAAAAAATGCGTCGCTACCTTCAAACAGGTGAATGCTCATCCTTACTGGTCTCACATTGAGCGCCATGTCCGGCTCCACTTTCGCCTGGTTTGAACGTGCTGTAGTTGTATCGCTGGCGTATTTTGATAGCTGATGATGCTGATGAGCGCCTCCGCGTGTTCACGCACCGTTACCATCCATTTCGCCGAAATGCGTGTCATTGTCTTAGCGTAGTGATATGTTCAATGATCACCTTTTTGTATTGCATGACGAGATGTTCACAGACCATGTGTATCACGAACCTTCTTTTGTGAGGTTCGATCATCTTCATCGGTGTTAATAATACCACGTGATGCTCCCTGGAATATCTGTATCGTTATACCGCTTGAGTCAAACTCATTACATCAAACATGTCGCTACATTATGAATCAAGATTTAATATATTTCTAACAGTGTAATGGATCCCTTGTCGCGAAAGCACGATACGGTACTGCAGTCAGCATTTTAAATGTCTCCACATTGGTTTAAGTTCTCAGAAGCGCACAACGCGCAAAAACATATTGACACTTTTAATCTTCAAACATTTACAGTGCTTCACAGAGCTCTTAATGCTGATTGCCTTCAAATCTGAACTGTCATCTTCCATATGAAAACGTATCTATATGGAGATTGAGTTCATCGTGCTTGACAAACACAATGTAACGAGGTTACACGTACTCTTGTATGAAAGGGCGGGTCGCACAAGATGGTGTGGCCGTACATAGATGTAAATTACACAAGTTGGTATAATCACACAGTGGTGCGGCTACACCGTAACAAGAAGCCACTACAAGGTAGGCTTGCCAGTAATAATGCATATTAATTAGGATTTACGATGTTGATTGGGTATTAATCAGAAAAGCCTAAGGTTCTAGATATTGACAGCTCTTCCGCAACTAGAACAACTAGATACAATTCTCAATTTTACCTACCTTGGTGAAGAATTTCAGTACTCTTAAAGGCAGCGGATTGCGATCCGCTGCACACGTACTGGATCTTGAATAGAACGTAAGGTCGGTGACCTTAGCTTGCTTTCTCTAAGCAAAGAGTTGTGGTAACCCCGCTGCACACAAAGTATAAAGCAACACGCAAAGTTTTAATTTGGCTTCCATGCGCATACTGTCAGTCGCTATGAGAAACTAGTCGATTAATTCCGTCTAAGGGCTCGACTCTTCACATTTTTTAAGCTAAAAGAGATATTAACGCACTGAGCGCAATTATCATTGCGACAACCAAGGTGCTATCAGCATCAAATAGACCACTCTCAGCCTGATTGAATTTCATTGCGTGTAGCTCGCTCACAGACCCGCCACATCCTGCTCTTTAGTCGGGCCACAAAAATTTAATTTAACAACATTTACCGATTCTTAGGAAGAAGATTGAAATAATTAATGCGATGTGTCTCGAAGCAGATTGCACCTGTGCGAAGCACCCCATGACGACATTGGCCGGAACCACTGCCAGAAGAGGGACTGTCATCATATACACTTCACTTCCTAAACCTTGTCTAATCTCCTTTTCCAATTTCGACGGACGACAAAAAATATTATCGTATGCGATTGCAAACTCTAGCGATATATGCATAGGTGTCTCATTTACAGATGTACCGCTCGTTTGACCCGATTCGGCGGGCGTGGGGACAGCGAGCACGATTGATTGCTATCTTATCCAAAATACGGCCAAACGAATGGCCTTTTCAGCGTTTGAGCTCCCATAAAGAATGAAATCTACGTCTCTATTGTCAAAGAGCCTAATAATGGGCAATTTCGGACACACTATGGTAGTAGGTTTGACGTTCCGGTTAAGCCGTCTCTGGAGGTGTCTAGCCAGCGCATTCTCATAGCTGGCAAACATTCTTAGGCAACCGCTTCCGATTGTTATCAGCCACCCAAGCCCATTGGAGATGATGAAATTCAAAAGCTTGTTCGGTATGTGTCTTGCTCTTTTGTTGTCCCGAGGGTAAATTCGTGAGCACACCGTGGTCATTGTCGCAAAGTATGCAGCACGTGTTGGACTTGATGGTCACATATGAACTACAAAGCGCAATGCTAAAAGGACTTTACGAAGAACGTAATTACCGGTTGCCGACTGATTTTGAAATAAGTGCCGCTCAAGCAGCAACGCAAATTTAAGACATGTATATTACGGAATTAAACTCGTTATTTTTCTGTTGTATTACCTTCATCTGGCATTTTGCGCAGCTCACATCCACAGACTTTCCTCGACAGATAGTACTCATCATGATTTTTAATATGGTACTTTGCTATGAGACTTTTGAGTTTCGCATTAAGTCAAAGTGTTAAAAGTGCAATGCGCACGTTCGTAAGTCTTACTCACAAATAGCGCAACTATGCGGTATCGTTGATGGTACTTCCAACTGCAATTGCGGCGAGATGACGCAGTTTCCAGTTTCTAATCGTTAAGCACATGTACCTGTCCCACAAGACACTTTGCCTTGACAGAAATCCGCTTCGACGGCCACGGCGGGAATTTTTTAACGCATTGTTGGCCTCCATTGTTCAGCCTCTAGCGCAAGCACCAAATTAAAAAAAAATTAACCCGTCGGAGGGCTAAATTAACGTTAATAATGATAGATGAGTATGATTTTAAGTTGTCGGACTTACCACTCTTAAATTTGTGTACGTACATCCAAACTAATTCTTTAGGCATTAATCAATGCGATAAAGTAATGCAAAATCCTCTTCGGCTAAATAAGCTGCGGTCACCTCGCCGTGATGACGATTGCGCAGGGTGCTTAGTTGCTAGCGTTTACATTTTTTCGCCAAGACTTAAGGACAGTACCGCTGAGAATATTATCTGCTTACTAAATATAGCAATAGGTTATTCTCATTCGCTACTAAGATATAACATTCACAAGAAAAGTCCTGGAAAATTGCACGAACAGAAATTTCGCAAGAATTTGCAAACAAAAGATATGATGATTAAAAAAAATCTTGTTGAAAGACTGTAGTAAAGCAATTATGTGAGTTCTGGGAAGTATTAGGATTTTCTCTTCAGCTAGCAATGTAAATTGTACTTAATGTTTGACTTGTGTCGGGTGCTGTTGAATATCGTAGTGCCTTCGACTTGGCGGTGGTATAATGTCATTACCACATCACACCGTCAGGAGCCTGCCTACTAACAATGCCCCCCTTCTCTCCCACTGTCATTCTCATAGATGAATCCTCATGACATTTTGTGTGATCACTTCTGATGATTAAAAAAACACAAGATCGTCTGCTCTCTAACGGCTGGAATAAAAAAAACTTCACCTATGACTAGTCGGCTGCGCGACTGGCAGCTGATGTCACAGGTGATAGAATACAGAGTCGACAATCTGTCAGTATTTGCAGTCAAAAGGAGCACCCACCAAAGCGTCGTAGGTTGGTCAGATGAAAATTTCTGATCCGATTTCAATAATGATGGGCACCACATGCTTGCTGACTCTGGGATATATAGTCGGCACTAAAGCCAGAGTTCAAGAAATCAAATGTTGATTTGCTTTTACCTCTATGTACTAGCACCATTTTCAAATCCACTACACTTCGGCTACGGGACTCATGAACAAGATGACTGGAGCTGTACGACTAATACTCTGTATGATCGCTGCAGTATTTGCGTTAATACCGGTAGCAGTCGCTGCTCGATTACAAGTCTCACTAGCTGATGCGCCTTCCGTCAAGCTTCACTTCGCTACAAAGCGCTCGTCAGTGCATGGACTATCTAAATTTGACGTTTTCGCTAAGCCAGTCGTATCATCAAACGGAGCAAAGGTGATGTACGACGGCTACATCACGTTTAAAGATGCTGATGAGACTTTTACCTACTTCTTCGTAAATGGTGCGGGATACATGTCAACAGGCGACGGAGATGTCCGTTGCCTTCCATCCGATACGCTTCCATTTGACTTAATCTTACCTGCGCTTAACGATGCCGTACCCATTCCAAGTGCAACCATCGGTGACAAATCAATAGAATGCGAGAGTGGTAATTTATTTAAGACAGTATTTGCTAGTACGAGCTTCGCAATTTGTGCGTCGAGTGAGTCCGGATTTACAGCGTACAGCAGTGATATCACGATTGACGTCGCATATCTAGACACTCCAATTAGCATTCCGTCGGTTGAAGGAGCAAAGTGTGATGCAGTGGCTGTACCGACGTCTGTCACACCAACTGCACTAGCATTGTTAACCGGTAGTGCTATTCCATTGAGTATATCAAGACATCTCGAGACCTCAACGCATGTAGAAATGGACGCTTCTTCGTGTAAGTGCAAAGACACACCTCGTCCGTGCATTTTTTTTCATGGCGCAAGTAATCCAAACGAGATGGACGAGCTACAAGATACGCCTAAAAATTCAAGTGGTCGCATCGGAAACATGAACAAGCATGCACCATGCTGCTCGATTGTTAAATATGCTATTCTTAACACTAAAGACTACCAATGGACGGACGACAAGCACCAGGAAAAAGTGTGTGACCGAGCACTTCGATTTAGTGGCGTCAAAACCAATTCAATCACCAATACGGTAATTGTAACGTATTCCGCGGCTGGATTGGCCATGGCCATGGCCATTGCAACTGGTAAATGCAGTTTTGGAACGAACGCGACGTGGGTTGCTGTAGGTACACCAATGACAGGAACCATGTTATCGGACACTTATCAGAAAGCTTGCAACAAGACTAGTAGTTTGAAGTCCAAAATGTTGTACAAACTGGGTGAATGTCCGAGCACACGCGGTCGAATGTCGGTTGCGTACCAATATGGAAACTACGCAACGAAGGAGCTATACACAGCGTATGTTATGGCACAAAAGGCGTACAAAGAGAACGTTGATGCCGCGCTGTGTGGTACCAATGACAATGGGTTGCTTTCGCCGTATCGACCGATTATGCTTTTGACGGGAAAACTCTCTCATCACAAATCAAGTGAACAGGATGGAGTTGTTGAATTTCAAAGCTGCGCGAAAGGTCTTGATATCTCAAAGTTCCACACGAGCTACAAGAGTCCTTTTTATAAAGCGAAGATAAATCATGCAGATGTTGGCTTTTTGACACACGACGGATTTTTTGATGATTCGCAAAAGCCTGCGAAATGGTTTGAGTGTTTGCTGTAAATGATGCAAACACTTTCTGCTGTGTCGTGTTCAATACGGCAATAAACAAGCTGCATCACGATCGTAGTTTCCACATAGAATGAAGATATACGCTATGCATTTGTAAAACTAGTGTTTAGATTTTGGACATCACCTCGTTTCTTGCAACGCACCAGCCTATTAATAATAGTAATATTTAGATTATTGCAAGACTTACCATCAGCATATCATAAATAGATACATGGCCTTTGATCTTGTAGTATTAAGCAAGCATAAGTGTTTCAGGCTCACAGTCCAAAATGAAACATTAATTTGATAAGCTGGATCATTCTATGTGCCTGGATATGCTAGGTGTCACATGAGCTGCGACTAGACTTTTCAAAATCTTTGTCACGACATATCGAGAATTAAATTTGGAAACCCTATCGTGTTCGTGTCAGCTGTTATATTGGTTGATATGGATGCGGCTCTGCATACGTTATATTGGTCAATTTATTTGAGCATGTGGTAGGTAAATATATCCAAAAACTTCATTAAATAAAAAATTGATTCAAATGATCGGGGCATGGAAATGACGTTTGTGTATTGTACGTGGAGTGATATTTGATGGAAATTAGAAACTCTATTCGTAATATTCTATCGTGAACTAAATTGTCACCATTGCATTGTTGCTATTTTTTTCGAGCTAAATAATATTATATTATTTGCTGAATAATAGCTGCTAAGAACCATAAAAGATATTATCATGCAGGAATACCTTTATATCACATCTTAGGCTTAGTAAAGCGATACTCCAAAAGAGACCAATTTTTGCTCTGGCGTGGCCAAAAAAATTGAAAAGTTTTGCGTTTCAACAAGGAATCATGATTTGAGTAATCGCTGAAATGAAGCATCATACCACGAATCTATCAACTCAAAGCTAGCTGTAGGCTCACGTTAGTTCCGGTGTCCGCTGTCCACTTAAAATGAAAGAACAGCTAGCTTGACAAGGGATAAGGCGTGTCATTATCAGACAATAGTCATAAAAGTCAACAGAACCGGCAGGAGAAAGATGCGCCATAACGTTTGGCTGTGTAAAACATCTAATCACGCCGCCGTTGCAGCTGTCCAGCGGCTGAATCCAGTTGTTGAGCCCTGAGTCTTTTCTAATTTAGTGAGTCGTCATCTACAAACGAATTGGTCAGTACCATCACTGAGCCGATCGAAACATTCCATGACTGAATGTGATTGATGTTGAGAAAAATGCATTCCAAGCTTGCGCGATCTGTGCAATTGGAGTCCTTACTCCGGTATTCCAGTATATCATTGATATACCGAGATAATCGTAGGGCACGTAAAGGGGATACGTCGGACAGGCACAAAAGACTTTACAAAACAAATTTACGTCAAGAATGTCTAGAATCAAGTCTAATACTATTCATCTGACCTCACTACCACAAATATCTCGAACGGGTGACAATACTTCATTCAGTACGATTTGTGGCATGGAGATCTTAGTGGCACAGCTCTTAATATCGATAGCATCAGGAGGAGATTTCACTCCAGCTCTCCACAATAGTTAGCCTACTTGTTTGACTTTTTTTAAGGTTTCGAGCGTGCAACGTGCGTTCTCCTCACAGTAATAAATTTGAGAAATTACGCTCATTCGAGCTTTATATGATATGCATTGGTCAATTCGTTCCTGACACCATTTTATAAAGTAAATACTTTATTCTCGCAGCTTTCCATCGCCTCTGGAATGTTACCATATTTGCGCTCAGGCGTGCCAGCTTGAATTCTATCAATGTCATTGCGGCCGTTATGCTCGTGCTATATCCAAAAAGTACGGCATGTGATGTTTTTAACTAGGCGTATTTGGGGCGAACATTACAAATTAAGTCATTGATTGTTTGTCGGAAACGCAGTTCACCTACGTAATAAAAATGACTTGAATTTTTACAGCAATGCAGGAGTTTTCACATTGAAAATTCAAACGTTCACTTGATACCAGTACGACACCAGTATGGTATACTTATATTATAGTATGGGTTTTCACCAATTTGACACAAACGATTGACTACCAGACAAGACACCTCGATATCTTGACTTCTCGATTTTGCGATCTCGTGCTTTCTCGCTCATCGTGACATCGTTGGCCATCAGATCAATCAAACGGATGTTAACATCACTGACCACTCAGAATGCTTAACATGACAGAGCAGAGTAAAAAAAGCTTGAACAACGTGTATGTTAAAAATCTTTTCTTTGTCATTTTAAATAATACTCAGCAGAACGCTTGAAGAGGGCCATCATTTTTGAGGTGTGTAGATTTTACATTTCCGTAAATTTGGTATAGTGTTAGCCGACTTTGCCATTTAAGTAGCCAAATAAAAGAATACCAATGTCGATTCAGAATATCCCGTAAGTCAGTGAATCTCTTGCCAATTACAAAGGCCTTCACCTCGCGCTATGTTTCGTCTTGTGTGAACGCTTTGATGGCGCTTTTACATTTTGTGTATCTCTTAAAGAGTAAAAACGCGTTGGGCAAACACCAACTGCGGAAATTTTCCGGAGAATCCAACAGAAGACTCGGTAGCAAACTAAGAAAGCAGCATCGCCGTTGTTTCCATTTAGTACGTTTGATAATTGAAACATTTTTGTCAGCTTGATAACCACATCACAGAAAATGCTTGTGACATTCCCTGGAGTGTTATGAAGTCATGCAGCACCTCTGCGCCGCGCACGATTTCATCAGGCAAGATGTAACGGGGTTACACGTACCCTGGTATGCAGGGGGGCCACACAAGATGGTGTAACCGTACAAAGGCGTGGATTACACAATATGGTGTAATCACACAATGGTGTGGTGCAACGTAACAAGAAGCCACTACGTGGCGGGACTGCCAGTAGTTATGCATATTAACCAGCTCTTACTTTTTAATAAGGAAATAAGGCTTTAGATATAGGCGGCTGTGCCGCAAATAACACAAATAAATATTGTTTTAATCTTGAACGGAAGAGTACATTCGCCTTAGGTTAAGGTCTTGGGTACTCTTGGAGGTAAGGGAATGCGATCCGCTACATTTGGACTGGTTCTAGTATAGAACGAAGGTCGGTGATTTTAAGTAAGATTTCTATGAGCAAAAAGCTACAGCAGCCCCGCTGCACTTGGTAGATATCTAAGTCAATCTATTCCTGAGTCGTTACGATTGAGTCTCTGTGAGAATAAATGAATTTCCTATTTGCCCTAGGGCATGCAGGACGGGCTTAATAAGCTGTTGTTCCTGCTGGGCCCTGAAGGCGTGGAGCACCTCGTTGCGAAAGGCCCCAAGGCCATTCTCGTGCGCCTAAAGGCGTTGCAAGCTATGAAAATGCTCTGTTAGAGCGCTTACAGCAAAAGCTGTCAGCGTTGACTGCGTCAATGACGCCACCGTCGGCGACGGATGATTCCTTCCGACCCAGGCCGCTCATGGTGAGCGTAAGACCTTCAAGGGTAAGGATGAAGAGGATCTCCTGCTCTGGATACGAGAGGCCGAGATAACTGTTACATTCGCCATGCTTCAAAAGGAGCAAGAGCGCGTGCACTAGCTATCTCCAAGCTCGGAGGCTAAGCGCAAGAATAGACATTAACTTGCGGTGCTTCGGGTGAAGCGTACTTCTCCTAGAAGGAGCTAAAGCTGCAGCTTTTGCGAGTGTTCTCGCCGAGAAACTGGGCATATCGCGTGCGATCGCGCTTCTTCGCCGCCCGACAGGATAAAAAAGAGTTGGTGGACTTTGCCCAAGTTTTGCGTACTCTCATTGCCGGGTTGGCAGCCGCTACTCTCCCCGAGGCGGTCACAGTGGCCGTCTTTATGGAGGGCTTCCGCACTGGCGCGCCTGAAATGATAGTCTTCCGTGTGCATCGTCTTCTTTTGAAGAGGCGGTGAATGTGATATTGAATGCCAAATTCAACTTTTAGTCCGCACAACCTGGTTGGAATGCACACCCTCAGAGCATGTCGAGCGAGCCTGATCCAATGGAAATCAGCTATGCTGAGAAAGAGGGGGGGAGCTCCGAGCTGGCGGGCCGCGTTTAAACACCCGACAGTGTTTTATCTATGAATACACCCGTCACCTTCAGCCTGGTTGTCCCCTGTGCAAGACGCGTCAATGTTCATCGAGTAGACGTCCCACTTCTCACCAGTCTGGTTTGTTGCGGGAAAACGGGAAAACTGAGTTCTGTTTAGCCTCAAAGAGAATTAGGGCAGCAGGGCCCAACCCCCGTAGAGCTTCGTGCTCTTGAACACGGAATCGGGTTTGCTGGTAGTAAGAGCGTTCGTGAATGGCTTTGAAAATCCTGATCGATTCCGGGGCGTCGGGCAATTATGCTCGACGCGCCACGATTGAAGGATCAGCTGTATGCTGAGGAGCTGGAAGCGCGGTTGAGTGACACTGTCACTGTCCGCTTATCGACAGGGAGTTGCATCACTGTGTCGAGGGTCCATATGGATTTCGATGTCAAGTTCCTTGACTTTGATAGCGTGGAACGCTGTCTAGTCTTAGACTTGAATCCAAGGTATGACCTTAGCATTGGTATGGCATGGTTGGAACACATGAGCCATGGATTGATTTGAGGTCAAAGACCCTGGGCGCTACGCGTACGTCGCCTTGTGGAGCTTTTTTGAGTCATGAACGCACCTCCGCTAGGAAGCAGAAGCGCTATTGGCTCGGGCACCAGACCGGGACGGTCAATGTGCTGGGTTTCGGAGTATCCGAGTTGTCGAACACCGAAGGTGTATCGGACAAGAGTCCCGAGCATGGCTCGCGGGCTAAACGTGGAGTGGCACGTAGCCCACTGAGCA